ACAATGATTTGTATGTGTGTGTGTGTGTGTGTGTGTGTGTGTGTGTGTGTGTGTGTGTGTGTGTGTGTGTGTGTGTGTGTGTGTGTGTGTGTGTGCGCATTTGTGTGTGTGTTCTCTCCTCCTAAAACCTCATAAGCCCTGAGCTGTGTGTCACTCTAATAACCTACTCTGCTGTCTGTCACCTGATTGTTGCTATTGTCATGCTAATTAGAGCGCCACATGCGGGAAAAGAGAAAAAAATAATTCTCTATCTGTCTCTCTACACATCAGGAAAGTGCTGCAATCTGCCCCTTCCCTTCCCCTCCCCCCCCCACATATATTTATCTTGCCTTCATCTCCCCGTTCCTCATTTTATCCTTCCATCCTTTATGTGTTTTACAATCGCTGCAACAATCGGCTCATTTGGAAAACCCTCAATTACCAAGCTTCATCTCATCTTTCCACATTGTACACACACACACACACACACACACACACACACACACACACACACACACACACACACACAAAGCTTTCCTACAAAGGTGCTGTTAAAACTGGCAAAAGCACCCATCTTTTCCAGCAATCTTCTGTTTGAAGAAACTAGTGATTAGTTTTAACTGTGAGTCTTTGTGCACTGAACAATAAGTGTTTCAATATTTTCTGTCAGAGTGTTTGAAATTATTCATGTTTTGAATAAGTATGCAGATTTGAAGATTGGACTGCAGGGAGGAAAATGAGGACGAGGAGTAACGGGAGGGAAACGTAGAGAAAAGGTGACAACGGGTACGAAACGGGTGGAGGTGATGGATGGATGAGATAGGACACAAGAGTTAGGAAATGAGAGGAGATGGGGCTTGAGAAACAAATGAGGGCAGCGGGGGAAGATGTGCAAAGAGATATGAGGGTCGGAGAGACAAGAGGAGGGATGGCAAAGAGACAAACGTGAGGAAATGAGAGGAGATGAGAAAGAGAATGGGAGGGAATTGAGGTGAAGAGAGGAGTGGAGATAAGGTTATTGAGTTTCTGTCTCACTGTTTCTATGTACCCCCCGCACCATCACATGGCGCTTCCCAGAAAAGAGATCTGCCCCGTGTTAAAAGCATTGTATCACTTAGTTCAGAGCATTAACATTAATCAATACGGCAGTTATTTCATTTTCTAGTTTGTACATTGGGCCGTCTCATCCAATAACAGCTTAATGCGGGCCACTGGCGCAAATACAGATAGCAAGTAATAATGAAATTACCCAGATTTATACAGACTTACACCAACACACAGAAACCGCCTCTCATAATGTAATTAACCAGACATAGTGTTTAAACGTCAGGTTTAGACACTAACCATGACCTGATAGCCACAAAAGTTACTCTGTGGCCACCAAATATCCTCTGTAGGTTGCCCCATTTGGCCAATACGTTTTCTCATGTTTTTCCTGAATATGTGTCAATGAGATGAAGGCAACAAAAGCAGTTTGATTGCACTGTTTTCTCATTTAAAACCAATAGGCTGTGAGAGACAAGTTTTCTTTTTTTTACAACAATAACAAATATTTAAAAGGAACTTAGTCAATTCCAAAAAATTAACTTGCACTTCCATTTAAATAAATACTTCTGCATTTTCCTATGAATGTCTTTGCACTTATTGTAGTAAGCAGGTAAGAAAGGCTGTGTTAAGTTTGGTTCAATTGCTCTTTTTGTACTAGTGTCTATACTCTCTATCACTTTGATACAAACAAAGCAATTCAAAAGCACACTCAAGGAACTGGGAAAAGCAGAGACAACACGTTCGTCTTTCACTTAATAAAGAGCTGTAAAAGAGCAAGCTCCTTACTGATCCTTCCGTAACACACTCCACCTGGCAGAACATCAATACCCAATCTGCACACACATTCACACACAGGGCGGTGTTTTTAGCTCCACAAACAGATGCTTTATTTCTAAAGGCGATGAAAGGCTGTAAATGCGAATTAATGTGAATGTGATTAGTTAATTATGTGCTTTCAGGAAGAAATTGAGTAGCGTTCATGAATGTTGGCAGCTCAACAACACGTTGGAGAGGCTGTCATGCCGTTGTGTGTGTGTGTGTGTGTGTGTGTGTGTGTGTGTGTGTGTGTGTGTGTGTGTGTGTGTGTGTGTGTGTGTGTGTGTGTGTGTGTTTGAAATGTGGATGGCATGTGACAAAGTCGCAAACAAGAAGTGAAAATGAGTCATTTTATCATCAAGTGTGTGTGTGGTTGAGCCGGCACTTGACAAAAAGAGACTTAACAATATAATAGACAGCGGGAGGGAGTGTGGTCGGTTTTATTGGTAAAACTGTTATCTTTCAGAGTTGCAGGGATAATTCTGTATGGCAGGTGTCCAGATGATGACTAGTGATAGCAGTGTGTGTGTGTGTGTGTGTGTGTGTGTGTGTGTGTGTGTGTGTGTGTGTGTGTGTGTGTGTGTGTGTGTGTGTGTTTGTGTACGCCAGGCTTTAAGGTTCTCTAATCCAACACAACATGATGAATGTGTTTCATTGTGCCTCTCTCTTGACCGCATCTAACACCGGGGACCTGAAAGTAATATTCTCCTTCACTGCCAACCGGAGGTCGCGTTAACCGAATATTTTCCGTCTATGACTTTTTTTTTTAACAATGACGGAAAAATCTGAAAGACGTCTGTCGGTGTTATGCCGTGTTATTATGCATGCCCTCCCAAAAGGAAATTATATCGTTTCCAAACCGAACTTTGCCGAACAGATTATTTAAATGTCTGTGAGTAGGCCTACTTGCTTTACGCTGCGCGCGCTCCCGCATGCATAACACGGCGCTAACAGTTCACGAGCGAGTGTGCGTCCCCCCCCCGATCCTGTCCGTCAAAATGACGGGCAGCGAAAAGGTATAGTGCAACCTCTGCTGCCAACATACAGTAGATGGGCTTACACACATACACAAAATAGTTTTTTTTAAAGGCGATACTTTCCTGTATGGTTCCACACACAATAACATATATACATTCACAGGGTCTAGAATCTGAGACAAAATTAAGATCTCCCTCACAGACACCCACTAAAACACACAAACAAACACACATTTCCATTGGTGGACTGAAGGCTGAGAAGAGTCAGCCGCCCTTTAATTCAGGATCCCATTAACTGTTTTATCCGTTGCTGTGACAAGCACACACACAAAAGCACACATCTGTTCTCCACCTTAGATCAGATCTGAAACCAGGCGGTGGTCATCGTGCTGCCGCCTCATCCACTTGCCATGCCCTGAAACCAGCTTTGACACACACACACGCAGTGACACACAACACACAACCCAGGCCTCGTGTGGAGATAAATGTAACCAGCAGTCCTCACCCCCAGCAGAAGAAAATCCAATTCTCTTTCACTTTTATCCCTGAGACTAATGTTACTGTCAAAGAAGACACCACCACCAGAGACCAGGCGACTGTCTGTGTTTGTCTCTGTGTGTGTGTGTGTGTGTGTGTGTGTGTGTGTGTGTGTGTGTGTGTGTGTGTGTGTGTGTGTGTGTGTGTGTGTGTGTGTGTGTGTGTGTGTGTGTGTGTGTGTGTGTGTGTGTGTGTGTGTGTGTGTTGTGTGTGTGTGTGTGTGTGTGTGTGTGTGTGTGTGTGTGTGTGTGTGTGTGTGTGTGTGTGTGTGTGTGTGTGTGTGTGTGTGTGTGTGTGTGGCAGTGAGATAGTGAATTCATTTAAGGTGATGTATTGCTGTCTTTACCTACAATCTTACAGTAGGCCTTGCTGGTGTTGTTCCTGCTTTTTCGTGACAAGCTTTTGAGCCCTCCTCCTTTCTTCTCCTTTCCCTGTTCTCCTTTCCTCCTCCTCATATTTCTTTCCTCTTTTCTTCCCTACTCACTTCTCTTTTTACTTGTTCCCTCTATCTTTCTTTTCCCTATTTTCCATTTTAAACCTTTGCTTGTTTTGTCCAATTTAGTTTAAACTCTGTAATCCTCGATTTGTTCTCCATTCATTTCTTCCTATCTTAACTTATTTATTTTTTAATTCAGGTCACAATTTAAATTCAATGGAGCTTTATTGGCAAGTTTTTGTTCACACAAGTTGTCAAAGCATTGTGTATGAGCTCATTGGCAGGAGACCGTTTTTTCTTTGTAGGGGGGGACATTTCGGGAAAAATTATACTTGTTCCTATTCACTGTGTTCTTTAAGAAAGCATTACAGAGGAAGGCGCTTCCTGTCTGCTACTCTTTAGCTTCCCCCTCTCGTGATGTCTTTATCTCTCCCCCAGGTTTTTACCTAGCATCTCTAAGGTCTGATGTGGGAAATGTGACCTATTCATCACAACTGACATAGTATGTGTTAACCAGCTACAGTATGCTCTCACATACACGCCATCTTTTGTAACGGACATGCATGTTTTCTGTGATTGGCAAAGCTCAGCTATAGGGGGGTTGTACCTAGGGAGAACGCTGTAAAAGGACAACTGCTGTTGCTGTTTTTGGTGTGTGTGTGTGTGTGTGTGTGTGTGTGTGTGTGTGTGTGTGTGTGTGTGTGTGTGTGTGTGTGTGTGTGTGTGTGTGTGTGTGTGTACGTGTGTGTGTGTGTTTACGTGTGATTGAAGGTACTTTGTTAATCATTTGTAAGCCCCACCAGATGCAATGCAGGGGACTATTGTGTTTCCGTCAGTCAACCACCCCTTCTTCACACAAACACACACTCATGCAGGTGCAGGTGCACATAGCGATCCCACCATAACCCCTTTCCCCTTGAGGCTGATTAGTATTCATGAGATCTCCGGAGGCCCCCTAATACACGCACACATATTCTGGTGGATTGGTCCATTCTAATTATCTCCTGGCGTTTATGGAGAGGGCTGATTAGAAGCTGTCAGTGTGACTGATGACGACATGCCATGTTATCCCCAAGAGACAGTCAGAGAGGGAGGCTGGTCACAGCTGTGGACTCCACTATTCCTCTGTCCTGGTCTCTTTATGGTGGCTGTCTTTGTTCCTTGTAATTCTGCTCCACTAACAACAGCCTTGTTATCTGCCTCCGTAGGTAAACCAGTGATGATCATAACGGAGTTCATGGAAAACGGATCTCTGGACACTTTCCTCAAGGTGAGTAACCGCTCAGCTGGAGGCAACATGGAGCACACATTTCCTTCAAGGTTAGGGCTGCAAGTCTTAACAAAGGCCATGCTGAAAATGATGTCCCAGCTGTAATGTCTAATGTTTGAAATTCCAACAACCCCAGATTGCTTTACTTGAGGGCACATTCTTTTAAAAAGTATAATAAGAGCTTCCTGACTGAAATTGCCTTTCATTTTTTGTTGGCAATAACACACACAAAGTTTTACACCAAGGGCTTGAGTTAACAAGGACCCATTCTACGTTTTGGACCACCTTTTTACACGCTGTCACCACATTATGAGTGTGAGTAAAAACAGTTTTAGAACATTGGAAAAAGGACATAACTGTTATAAAACCTTATTTCTGGTATGCAGCTTTTTCAATATCAAAAGACAACACAACTAGTGTACGTAGACAAATAATTCATCAAATAAGTGTTGTCTTGCAGTAATTCTGTTATTATCAAACAGTACATATAAGAAGGTAGTGTTGATAGTATGGTATATTGAGTAAACATACTTTGTTCTTAGTGTGGACAGAGAAAAAGGATGGGAACAGAAACAGTCAGAGGGATGTTTGGCCTCTCCGCTATTTTATCACCTGATGGTTGATACTAGGTCTATGAAATGATCTCAGTGACCATATCCCAGGGCCGAGAAAAGCAGCACACTGCTGACAAATAGGCAATAAAGCAAAGAGAAGTGTATTGCTTTGTGAGCAACATTTCGCTTTGTCAGGGGATACAAAAATGAACAGCTCATACAGAGTGTAATATAATACCACAACAGTCAAGACAGCAACTGAGAAAAAACATTGAAAATAACCTCTCAATGCCAAAGTAATTCCAAAGATATCTGCATCATTACTACAGAAATAGAGAAATATAGTCCGCACAAATATTTCTAGAAACATTTATTTAGCTGAAGTCTCAGTAAAAGACAATAATGGTTAACTGAATAAAATGTAAGTATACATTCATTTTGGTGTATTACAAAATGGAGTCCTAAAGGCAGACATTACCCAAGGTTATTGCTGAATCCCTTATCAGTGAACAGACTTAAACATCTAAGGAAGACTGTTATTGAAATCGACATTATGACAAGAGTTAGAGGAGCCTGCCACTCAATATGTCACAGCATGTTTTTTAAGAATTACTCTTAAAGCCATCCTATACAGGAAATCTAATGTATTTTCTCATAATTGACACAAGGTTTTGAAGTATTTCAATTACTTTCACTAAAGTATTGATCCCTAGTTGATTGCAAAAGCAGAAAACAATCAAATAATGTTGTAAATGTTGATTCATGTGTGATTCATGACTCCTCTACTTAGACATAATGCGGCAGAAGAAGCAAATCCTCATCAGTGTTGATGAGGAGCCCTGCATTTTGCATGCACAGATGAATAGCCCGTTGCAGCCCTGGTGTGCATCACATTGAAAGTCCCCCTGATTCATATTCAGAGTTGTTTGTCGGCCAGTAAAATCACTGCAGAGCTCTAAAACCATTAAGCCTGTGATGATAGGCCCATCGCTAAATAGACACCAATCCCATCAGCAACACTGAGCAAAACCAAATGAAATCGGACATATTAAAAGGGCCTGAAACACGTGCACACTCAAAATCACACATACACCTATGTGTGTTGTGTGTTACAGTATGTATTGTAATAACGGTCATAAAGATTGTCCGCAGTGGCTCCATAAAATTATGGGATTTTATGGGTTTTACAACTCATCCGTGCGCCTGGCATCCATATGTGTCTTTAATTACGCTGACCATTAGTTAGATCATTAGACCATAGTTGTCCCTCGGAAACAACAAAACCATGGCTCTATTGGAAAAGCTCTTCCTCTCTTAGCTTCCTTGTTTCTACCTGCTGTAGCCTTTCTATCATTTCTCTTTGTAAGTGTCTCCTTTTAGTTTTCTGGTAAAAACTTAAGTAAGGTTCAAGAATTTGTCAAAAAGTATCGTTTTCTATCATCACCTTACTCATCTGTCTCCTTTATCTCCTTGTCTAACCTCCCTGCCCTGCATTTGTCTCCTCTCTCTCTCTCTGCCCTGCCCCTTCCTGGCAATGCAACGTGGTGGGCAGATTGATAGAGGAAGTCTGTAGGTTTGTTAGACAGTCCAATCAATCAGCATCTCACAAAACCACCGGCTAATTAACTTACTCCACAGCTGCCGAGGGAGTGAGAGAGAAAGAAGGATCGCGGTAGGGGAGGAGGGGTGCACAGATGCAGAAAGATGAATGAGAACTGATTCAAAGTAATACAGAGTTCTCTGTCTGAGACAGTGACTGAGGACAGACAGAGATGAATGGAGAGGACGAAGGGACGGAGAGAAGGAGAGGTTATATAAAGGAGAGAGGGTGACTGATAACATGGATGGCTTTTTAACGGGGACCGTTGGCCCAGGGCAGAAATAATTGGCAGAGGAAGGTGAGCCGGACCGTCATCGATCAACACGCTCTTCTCTCTGCCAAAGACAGATCAAATCTGAAACCAAGTGAGCTCTACTGGCACACGCCGTCAGTGTTCGAGAGGAAAGTTTTGTCTGCTCTGTCAGATACAATCCTCTGCCAGTAGGAGATTTGGGTGATCCTCAATTGACCCAAGGGAGGAGATGTTTATCCTCTGCTGGCCACCCCCCAGAGAGAGGTCAAAGCCCAGGGTTAACAAGAGCTGGAAAGGATTCAAAGTTCTTTCACATAGCTCCTTAAAAGCTGATTGGTGCCATTAAAGATGCTTCTATCCTCGTTTAAACCTTTACTTCCTGCTGAGGCTGAAGAGGAAGACCTTAATACCCTAATGTTGCATCTTAATGTCAACATTCAGACTCTGTGCTGCATATTAATTCATCTCCCCTGCTTCTCTTCCTACAGAAACATGACGGGCAGTTTACGGTGATCCAGCTGGTCGGCATGCTGCGTGGCATCGCCTCAGGTATGAAGTACCTGTCGGACATGAGCTACGTTCACAGAGACCTGGCAGCTCGTAACATCCTGGTCAACAGCAACCTGGTGTGTAAGGTGTCCGACTTCGGCCTGAGTCGAGTTCTGGAGGACGACCCAGAGGCTGCCTACACCACACGGGTAAGACACACACACATGCTGCCGCTGTCATGAACTAATGTTGTCTCCAATTACAGTGTACCCTCCCATTGACCTCTACATAGTTAATTTCAGTCAATAAAACAATGCAACATGCACAAAATAAAGAAGTTGATCTGACCAAGTATCCATTTCTCTGGAAACAAGATCAGAGCTGATAGCAAACTTGAATACCAAAAGGACAAAAATGTAGGAGACACACACAGATGTTCAGGACAAAGTTGACTAATCTCAATTTCACCAATTTATTATTTTTATGTCACAATAACATAGCTAACATTTTGGCCTATTTGGCTTGTTTGCCAAAGTAAATTGGTAGAATTGAGATGAGTCAACTCTGTCCTGAAGATCTACGTGTTTGCTAACTTTTTACCTAAGGGTTTTTAAGTAACTTTATAAACTTAGGTTGAGCTCCACAGAAAATACCTTGAAGGTTTATTATTTCTAAAAACCCTTGCCTCCACTTAGGTAATATTCCCATTCATACATATGAACTCAAACAATAGAGGCACAAGATGCTGCTTTTTACATTCTGGCAACCTCACTCTAATCAGGACTCAGAAAATGTGAAGTTTATATTATATAACTTTAACAAGGTCCTTGAACAAAGAACAATACTTATTGCTCAGGAAATTAACTGCTTTGCTTGTTTTTTATAATAGAAATGTTGGAAAATAACTGCCCGAACTGAATTTGTAAAATATGCTAAACACACTAGAAAGCTTCAGTCATATGTCCATATGTGACAACTGACCTGACACCCTGATAATATCTGGAACTTAACCTGAATAGAAGGGATTCACGTAGACGACTCTTGGTCAAAACATAGGGCTCCAGAACTGAGTTACTACATTAGGTTTTCTCAACAGTTTAAGTTTTTTATGATACTGTGCAACTGATAAACGTATACAGTTCATAAAACTAAAAGCATACACAAAAGCAAGCTTTATGTTTTTCCTTCATATGTTCAATTCAAAGAAGTCTTTGGTAACATCACCATCCTCTCACAGAGCACAGAGAGAATGAAGAAACTCAACCGTCAGTGAGTTAAACCACTGCGGAGTAACTCATCTAAAATGCCCACAAGGAGATGGCATTATTCATATTCATAGGAAGTGTTGGGGATGTTATTTTTAATATGGCATTAGCATTGCCCTGGGAGGAGTGTATCAGCCACTGACTGCTATTGCAATCACACACACACCCACTGATGTCAGGAGACCTAGATGGAGAGCTGCAGGCATGAAGCGGGGGAGAAAGGGAGAGGGCGAGGCAGAGATGGGGAAGAGACAGAGAGAGAGGAGTGTATATCAAATAAGAGAGGGAGAGAGAGAGGGAGAGAAAATAAGAGAAGGCAGGGGAATGATCCAGAGAGAGCAGTTAAGGGAAAAAAATAAAGAAAATGGGGTGGGGGGTGGAAACAAAAGTACAGTGCCGAGTGACTTGGCAGCTTTGTCTTTTATTTGACTTTGACCAAGCAGAGATGGAGAATGCTAGGTGGTGCAGAGGCAGCTGCCGCATGTTAAAAAGCTCAACTGAGCCCTATAGAGGTACGCGTACGTGTGTGAGTGTTAAGCGAAGAGAGAAAGAGAGGGCGGGGTATCTTACTGCCTATTGTGTCCATACTGTGGGTTTTATGGAATCCTTTTGATCTGTGCATCAACAACAAAGGCAGGAGCAGCATGGAGGAGGAAAAAAAGATAGAAAAGAAAGTCAAGTGTAAGAATAAACACTGGAGCAAGGGTAACCCTGTGTGTTGTTAGCAGATTAGAGACAAGTGTGTATCCTTAAGTGCTCTGTGGTTAAAGGCAACGCTGCACCAAGATTCTCCGCAGCCACCATGTTATAATTTGATCTGACGGCCCTGCTCTGGGTTTATTATAGCCGCTAATAGACGTACTAATAAAGCAACATATTTACACCATTACAATATAAGAGTGTGCTGACTGTGTTCTGCAGGGAGGGAAGATCCCCATCAGGTGGACAGCTCCAGAGGCCATAGCCTACAGGAAGTTCACCTCAGCCAGCGATGTGTGGAGTTACGGTATCGTCATGTGGGAGGTGATTTCATACGGAGAGAGACCCTACTGGGAGATGTCCAACCAGGATGTGAGTCACAAACACCATGTCGCAGTTAAAGTAACAAATGTTTTTCTCCATCTTAAGCTAAATTCTTAACTATAACAATGCATTTTCCTAGATATTTTTATTTCCCTGATCACAGAACTTGATTTTGTCTCCCTGCAGGTGATCAAAGCAATAGATGAGGGCTACCGTCTTCCCGCTCCGATGGACTGTCCTGTGGTTTTGCACCAGCTCATGTTGGACTGCTGGGAGAAGGGACGCAGCGACAGGCCAAAGTTTGGACAGATCGTCACAATCCTGGACAAGCTCATCAGAAACCCGGCCAGCCTCAGAGAGCTGGCCAACAGCTCAGAATGGTCAGTGGGAGAAAGCTGTAAATGACATGCACATGCTATAAGCATCCAAGGATGTCTTTTGTTATCACATCTAAAGTCAATATCATTTCATCAATCAGTTATTTCGTCTTTGATTATATTATAGGAAGATAAGTACATGCATAGAAGACACCATTACTGATCTTATTCAGTTTTAAATAACAAACTTGTAGTGCTACATTTGTATCTCTTGTCTCACCCAAGTTACATTCTCAATGAAGAGGTAAGTATATAAGGTTGTGGGTTGGCAAATACATATTCCCATATGCATTTGGATTGCACAGATCCCTAAAATATCATTATTGTTTTACATGTTACACTTCAGGCTCACAGGGTTAGAACCAGAACAGCATACAGAATGTGCAATAGAACATGTTTGAGTCCCTTTCAAAGATGATAGAAGACAAAATGACAAATTCCACCACAACCGAAAAGGCAACTTGGACTCAAGAGCACTGCTAACAAAGGTCTACACACCGAAGACACAAATAACAACGTGACCAGAAAGAATAGTCTCATAGACTATGGCATGCCTTTAATGGAACCTTATACAGCATGGTATGTAGAAGCACATTGTATCTAAGAGCAGATGCAATTTGTTCTACATGGTATTAAGTTTGAGCATGCAAATGACTAAACACAGAGATCATTTATATCAATGTATAGTAATGGTAAGCAAGCAAACAAGTCAAAGGGTCCAACAAGTAAAGTCATGTTCGCACGTCCTTGTGGGCAGTGGGGGGATAAATCATTAATCATACTTACCCATTAATGGGTACATAAAGTTATAGTTAATGTTTTCTTTTCACAGTGGATTTGAGTCCGTCTTACTGCAGTTGTTGCTGAATGAAAGCAATTCTGCCAAAATGCAGATAGAGCACCATGATTGAGCATTAACTGGCTCATCAGTGTGCTGCTGACACATCCTTATGCTCTAGAGATAAATAATTGACCTCAGCACCAACCAGAAACTTCTATTTGGCCACTCAACAGTACAACATTTCATTAAGTTGTGAGTGTGCTTTGTATCCCAGCAGGGAGGACCCGACCACCCCAGAGTTCAGTGTGAACACAGTGGATGAGTGGTTGGAGGCCATCAAGATGGGCCAGTATAAGGAGAACTTTTCCAGTGCTGGATATGTCAGCTTGGACTCAATCCTCTACATCAGCGTCAGGTACAAACGGCTGATGAATTATCCCAGTTAAATGAAACACTCAAAAAGGTCAACATTGTCAGTTAAAGACATGCTTTATACCACTAGAGTGTCATTTAAAATGAAACAAGGGGACTAACACAAGTATATTAGACATCCTCAGCAGCTGCGTGGCATCTGAGAAACAATGTTCTATCTCTTCATGTGTCATTAATGAAAACTATTTATTTCTGTCTTTCTTGTAGTGAATTGGCTAAAATGGGGGTGAATCTTGCCGGCCACCAGAAGAAGATTTTGTCCAGCGTGCAGACCCTGCAGACCCAGGGGACGCACGTTCAAGTATAACAGTTTCCACAGAAACACACAGTGAGACAGAGCCAAAATGGAGGCTCCGTGTGAAGAGTTTCCCCACTTAAATGGAGTTGTTATGGATACTCTGTGCTCGGGGCCTCCATTGATTTTGAGACACCCTGAGTTGGAGTCAACATGGACGCTTGACTCCTTCACCTCCTCGCAATTTCACCATTCTTCCTTCCTACCCTCGATGGGCACCACTGGCTTTAGCATTCAGTAACCCAGCCACCATTATGGAGCTACAAAGAGACACACGTCCAACAACAAGGCCACATCTAGAGCATCCCAGACCATTTCACTTCATATCAGCCAATAAAGAATTCTTAACAGAGGAAATGACAAAAAAAAACAAATTAGAATATAATTATCATCACTGTCTGTGAGGTGTACAGTTGTTGTTTTTTTTACTGTCATTTTGTTTCTGTTCTGAGTTTTCACCTTGAAGAGTTTAAAAAGGGCCAGAAGATATGTATATGTGTAGATATATGTTTATATGGGCTGTGTGTCCCACAACAGTAGAGATGGACCTAACGTTTGTAATGGTGGAGAGGTTTAATGGGAGTTATAACTTAGTACTTGTATGGCCCCTTCCATTGCTCTCTTTATACAGAGCCAATAAGTGAGCCGAGATTATGGATATCATGAATGTGTGGGGTGGGGTGAACAGGAAAATGGACCTTTAGAGATAGACAGGGATGTAGATTTTGCCAGCTCATGAAGGATGGAAGTATGAATCATTTGAATAGAGTTTTGACCAGGACAAGGGCTTCCCTAGTGACTGCTCTCAGACACACTTCCACAGCAACTGTGCTAGTCTGCTTTGATGTTTATCGGGTGGAAATAAACAGCGGAAACTGCTTAAGCTGCAGTTACAGCACAGATACATTTTACTCTTCCATCACAAGCTGTCTATTCCAAACAACATTGTCTATTTGGCTGTCGCAGTATGATGTTGATAGGAATATTTCAGCTTAAAAGTTTGCCTTCCCATGTTTCAGCTGTGATAAGAAAGTTATAGTGTTTCGTGTTAAGAAAATGTGGTGCCATTCATTCTAGAGTGACACTGTTGAGAAAGTGTTTATCCGGTGTTGTGCCATGTACAGTTAACATTGACATTTTCATCTGGGCAACATACCACCATTACTACTATACTCAGTCCTATCATCAGTTCAAACGGCTGGATGTTAACATAAGGCCAGTCTCAGTAATTACAATGTTTTGTTCAAGTCTTCTTTATGAAAAAGAGCATTGGAATGGACGCTTTTTTTTCAGCAAGAGGAAATATATATATATATATATACGCTGTGTCGATTTTCAGCTGTGCAACCACGAGAGGGTGAAAAGTACTTAAGAAAGATGATTTGTGCGTCTTGTACTGTCTCACATTCTTGTTATCAGTCAATCTATTTCAAGCATCACTAGTTTCAATCCATTACTGATAAGGTACATTTACAAAACAATGTTTACAGCAAATACATAAATAAATTGGTTTGTTGGTTTTTCCTTATCAGAAGGAAACTGCTGCTTTTCACATTAAATACAAGCTTAGATATGATGGGACCCTCTTTGTGTGCACTGCATTAATGGCACTGAACCTGCTTAAGCGTACTCCCAGACCCCAGTTTTAATATATGTGGTACTCTATAGGACCAACGGTGTCATATAGTACAGTATATATGATTGTATTATAGTGTAAAATATGTACAGAGTTGATTTCCAATGTTAGAATGTTTGTAATGATAACGATGATGATGACTATGATGTACTTTTATTGTGAAAAAGAGATTTCTGAAGTACTCGTTCAGGGGCGTGTCGTGCAGGAGAAAATTGCAGGGAGGTGATTCGTTGGTCTGAACAAAGGAATGTAGCATGGTGCAATGCTTCAGCTTTGATTGACAGTTGACAATGAGTGCAGTTTCTACCATAGTGTTAGAAAGAGTAGAATGGACTTTCCTTATTGATTCACTGGCTTCATTTGCATACGTCCCTTAAACAGTAATTACAAGCACTTTCTAAGCCTGTGTCCACCTACAAAACAACTTGTTAAAGTGCTTTCTTGGTGATATAAAGATGGAAGAGGGGAGGTTGAGATAAGAGACGTGCTCAAATTGATGCATTAGCTAAACCCCTCCACAAAGCAGAAATTATCCAATCAAATCTTGGCAACTATAACTAGGCACGGCAGACCTGTCTAGCTTTGCATTTCTCCGCATGCTGAAGCGACTCGCATGCAGTAACAGCTTGTAACTTGGCATTTAAAGAGTTTCCAGGGTGTTGACCTTTTGTTCAACCGCTCCTTAAACGCAACAGCAAAAGCATAAGGAATGAATTTAACAGTTTGTTTGTCTGTTCTATTATAAACTGCATGTCGGAATAACAAGTTTACCATCTTCAATAGTATTCCAACATCGCTTCCAAGGCCAAGGTGTTGTGATGAATATAAAAATAAAACCCTTTTTGACCATCTTTACAGGGTTTTCATTGATTAGTTAGCTACAGCTAAAAGAGTAAATCATGCCAGTGACAGTTTTCCTATCACTCAAAACGACTATACCATTTCAAAAAAGAAAGCTTGGCAGGCGTTGCAAGAGTAACTGTAGGGAACATTCATTTCCACCACTGTATAGCTTGTTACTTGTGCATTCTCTGCCCCATTGGTTCAGAATACAATACAAAATACAATTCACAGAGTCTGAAACTGTTGGTACATTCTACTCTTGCTAACTCTATGATTTCACTCAAGCGGACTACCCTTGACCGCTGGCCTTTTAGATGCCTTATTTACTGAGCTAGTGTTCTTTTCTGTTGCCCTATAGAGGCGATATTAAGAGTATAGTATATGTACAGGTAGTATTTATCTGTGTTCTTAAGATGACCTCACATCAACACCCTGGTTTTGTAAAATCCCAAGACCGGCTCCAACAGCACCTTCACTATGAAGCAGAACCATGTCCTTGTTGTCCTTAAAACAGTGTAATGAATCTTAAAGCTGTAATTGCTGATTGGGAAACTATCCTTATTTATTTGATTTGTTTGATAGGCTGCTCTAAGTTGCAAACTATTTTCACATGCAGCAATCCTAATGCAAAGTCAGAATTAGAAATGTCACTCAGAAAATATTGCAAAAATGACCTCCCTTTTTACAATCTTTTACACTTAAGAGAGGTCAAAGTCCACACCTTGATTTCAACTCCAAAAAAAAGATGCCAGTTTTGTGTCACTATTCACCATCAGGGTTAACAATGTGGTTTTGTTTGCTTGATCTCAAATACAGTGTTTGTCCTCTATTCCCCACCAGGTCTGTATTGTAAGTGTTCATGAATGATTCTCATTCAAAAAATGCAGCTCTCTGTCTCTCTCTCTCTCCTCGTCCCTCTCTTATGCCACCTTACAATGCTTATTTGTCCCCATGCCAGTCTCCTCTGCGTTGCTTGTTGTAAAGGGTGTAGGCATTCTAATGTCTTTCATGTTGCTGTAATAAATATGCTAATATTTCTAATTTCTCACCTGAAGCCTGCAGTGTCTTTTTCTTTCACACATCCTCTGCCTATTTGCTTTCCATCACCCTCTTACAAACACACACACACCAAAAGTATGCGTGTCCTTTTGTACCATCCCACAGTACAATTACACAAGGACTACCTGAATATGACGGTATCAAATTCTAAATGGCCCTACATGAAAGTGTAACAAAGCCCTCGCTTAATTATTTTTTGCAACAAAGCCTGAAGGTATTAACATTTGTTTTGGTGAATGTCTGACCAGTCTTGCAGAAAATCATCGCAGGACTGGGGAATTGAAGGGTAGTCTCATTTGTCCTCAGCTCTGCTCTAATGGTGATAGTGATGGTGAAATTTCCATCATAACATTTTTGAATGGCAAAATATGGTCGTCCTGCAACCACATCTTCATTATCAGTGTGTGTGTGTGTGTGTGTGTGTGTGTGTGTGTGTGTGTGTGTGTGTGTGTGTGTGTGTGTGTGTGTGTGTGTGTGTGTGTGTGTGTGTTCCTTAGTGAGAGATAATTCTGTCCCAGGGGAGGGGGAAGGTCAGTGACTCCTGGCCTTGGTTAACCCCTTAATGCACTGGCCCAGTCGCTGTCACTCTATGTTACCGCCATTACACCTCATTTACCCCATCATATTAGGCTCCATATTCCCATATCGCTCGCCCCCTCCGTCTCTCTCTCTCTCTCTCTCTCTCTCTCTCTCTCTCTCTCGCACACAGCTAGATATACAAGAAATTCAGGGCCTGTTCTCCATTTCCTCAGTATCTCCTTTTCTGCTCTCCTCTTAATCTTTCTGCTGGCCTTGTGGATCCCCATTTTTTCCCTCCCCTATCCTATCCATTCTGTGCAGACAGACAGACACAGAGAGGTTGTGGCTAGCTCTCTGACCTCAACTATCCCATTACCTCCTCGCTTTTTCCTCTTCTCGTAGCTTTCTAATTTCTCCTACCTCCATCCATCCAAAGGTTTTCTCCACATGCAGCTAGTATTCCCCTTTCGGTCTCACTGATATCACCACTGGGTTTCCTTTCACATTAAATGGCCAATCCATAACTTGGGGCTTTTGTCTCCAGGTGTCTCAATTGGGAGAATGTCATCTAACATATTTACTCTGGATAACATGGAGGCGACTGGGAGCCAAAGGCTTAGGCGATTGATTCATCATGCAGCTGCTATTGGCTTCATGTGAAAGGTCAGGTGTCCCTATGGAGAACACTTTAAAAGGCCATTGGTGACTGATGAGCCTGTCATGTTTGTATCACATATAAAGCACAAGCACTCTGTCGCTCACTGTCTATATCTGCCTCTCTCTTCTCCGTGTTACTGTTCTCCCTTTTGGAGACACACACACTCTTTTTTGTCCTCTCCCATGGGAATGGTAATTGGGCCCCTCTGTCATGCTGTCGGGTGGGTTTGAGTGTCCCCTCATGTGCAACAGCAGACATTAAAATAACACAAGAGACCAAACAGCCAAAGATCTAACATGACCTCTGCAGGGTCAGCCATATGCGTGTTTGTCCATAGATGTGTGAATCTGTGTGTTCATAATGCTTGTGAGACTTAAAAAGGTGCTCGTGAGTGAGTGAGGGAGCGGCGCGAGTATCAAAAAGGGTCTAGCTGACATCTCTCAGTGGATGTCTGATCATCACCTCAAGCTCAACCTTGACAAGACTGAGCTGCTCTTCCTTCCGGGAAAATATTGTCCCACTCTTGACCTAACAATCAACATCGGCACCTCAGTTGTTTCCCCGACTCAGACTGCAAGGAATCTGGGTGTGACCCTAGATAACAACCTGTCCTTCACTGCAAACATAGCTGCCACGACCCGTTGCTGCAGATACACGCTTTACAACATCAGGAGGATACGTCCCCAGCTGACACAGAAAGCGACGCAGGTTCTGGTCCAGGCTCTCGTCATCTCACGCCTAGACTACTGCAACTCCCTCCTGGCTGGTCTACCTGCTTGTTTCCGCTACCTGCAGCGGCTCGTCTGGTCTTCAACCTTCCTACATTTTCCCACACCACTCCGCTCCTCCGCTCCCTTCACTGGCTTCCGGTAACTGCTAGAATCCACTTCAAGACACTGGTACTTGCTTACCATGCTGCGAATGGATCTGGCCCATCGTACATCCAGGACATGGTTAAACCGTACACCCCAGCACGTGCACTACGCTCTGCATCAGCCAAACGACTCGCTGCGCCCTCGCTGCGAGGGGGACCCAAGTTCCCATCGGCAAAAACACGTAGGTTTGCTATCCTGGCTCCAAGATGGTGGAATGAGCTCCCCATTGACATCAGGACAGCAGATAGCTTGCACATCTTCCGGCGCAAACTGAAAACTCATCTCTTTCGACTCCACTTAGAGCGATAGAACTATTAACGAAGCACTTTTATACTAATAAAGGACTGGCTTACCTAAAGCCAGTTGAGTAGCACTTGAAATGTTTGGCTCTATGAAACCTGATGTACTTATATGATTCTGTTTTCTTCAAGGTTGTGTCTTCCTGGTCGAATGTACTTATTGTAAGTCGCTTTGGATAAAAGCGTCAGCTAAATGCAATGTAATGTAATGGAGACGGAAATAAAGTAGTAGATAAAATCTGGGAGGAAAGATTTCATCAGTCATTGGTCAAATTTGCTTGAGTTCCTGCTTTGTCGCTCTTGATTGCATTGCGTGTGTCCTCCCTAATCAAATATGGCCGAGTTCAGACAGGCTCAGTGTTTCGCGGTCGGCACACACACACACGCACACATCAGTGCTCTTGTGTCTCATGAGGTTTTAGTTTGCTATCAAAGCGATTTCCTGTCTCAAATTCTCATCAGTAATCAAAGTTCCTGATTGAATTTGAAAAGTGAGCCCAGCTCTATAAATCACATTACATGCCTCACTCCCATCGTGCCCGCTCTCATGAGCCACAGGAATGAGACGCCAGCCTGGGTGTATGTCTGCGTCATGCTCTCTTCATATGTGTGTGTGTTCTTGTTCATGCAGTGGAACACAACATGGATGTTGACAGAACTATGATTTGATCCGTGCAATTTTTGTTAGGACAGATAAAAGAAAAAGGAGAGAAGAAAGTTAGAGATAAGACACCTGGGTCTGATTGTATGTGGACATAATTCTTGGCATTCATTCTAAGGTCAGCTGGATATCAGATAAGTTCAGTTTATCTGCATCAGTTCAGCTCAAGTCAGCGATGAAGTAAGGCAAAGTGAATTTGCTTAAAAATAAATGCTTTTGTTTTTGCATGCAAAGGCTAGTGAACAAGCCCAGTGAGGGGTTCCAGAAGGTCAGAGGGCTCAAACTAAATCCAACCCAATATTTCTTTATCTTTATTTGTTCCTTCGTATTACAGCAAAATGCTACAGTAATATTCTATTAAAATACAATACTATTTTGTAAAGCAATTTAAATGTAGAGTTTGACAGCAGAATTGCTCTGCTTTAAAAAAGACCTGCATCTCTGGCTTTCATTACGTTTCTCTATATATCCTTTGATTTTGATACGCGGAGTGAAGCAGGTAGGACCCAAACGCAGATAATACTGATAATACCTTTATTTCAAGGGCTCTTATCGAACATATCACATGGAAACAAACAAAACACTCTACGGTGAACTAGGTCACAAACAAAAGAAGCACCAACACTGAACACAGGAAGAGACCATACTAAATACAGGGAGGGGTAATCACCAGACGAGAAACAGCCGGGCAGGGGAGGAGAAACACAAGGGCCACAGGTGAACACAATCAAACAATTAGACACACCAGAGAAACTAACGACAGGGAGGAAAAACCCAGGGAGAGGGACCAGACAATACACAAGGAGGAAAACATGACAGAGAGAACAGAAACACACCCATCACAAGACATACAAAACTAAAACGTGACATAACACAAGAATCATGACAGAACCCCCCCCCCTCAAGGGACAGATTCTAGACGTCCCTAAACACCAAAACAAAAATCCAACAACGTCCAGCAGGGTGGGTGGAGGGGGTCCGGAGGACGGGCCTTGGCTGATAGCCCAGGGCGAGGCAGAGTTCGAAGAGGGGGTCTCGGGCGGACGGCCCGGGGGCAAGGCAGAGTTCGAGGAAGGGGTCTCGGGCGGACGGCCCGGGGGCAAGGCAGAGTTTGAGGAAGGGGTCTCGGGCGGACGGCCCGGGGGCAAGGCCGAGTTCGAGGAAGGGGTCTCGGGCGGACGGCCCGGGGGCAAGGCAGAGTTCGAGGAGGGGCGAAGACCACAGCGGGGACCGGGCTCAGGGGACCGGGCTCGAGGGCGAAGACCGGACAGCTCCGGAGGCCGGGCAGGAGCCGGTGTCGACCGGACAGGATCCGGAGCCGGTGGGACAGGTGTCGGCAAGATTCCCCACGGAAGAGGACACAGGGCCGGCAGGACCCCCGGCCGGAGAGCAGTCGGTGGAACCTCCAACGACACGGGACATAGGGTTGGCAGGACCCCCGGCAGAAGAGTAGTCTGCGGGACCTCCAACGACACGGGACATAGGGTTGGCAGGACCCCCGGCAGAAGAGTAGTCTGCGGGACCTCCAACGACACAGGACATGGGGTTGGCAGGACCCCCGGCAGAAGAGCAGTCTGCGGGACCTCCAACGACACGGGACATAGGGTTGGCAGGACCCCCGGCAGAAGAGTAGTCTGCGGGACCTCCAACGGGACAAGACATGGAGTTGGCGTCGGCTGGAGAGCCAGCAGGAGCCGAGGTGCCGGAGTCGGCCGGTACGCCGATAAGACTCGGGGAGCTGGCGTCGGCTGGGGAGCCAGCAGGAGACGAGGTGCTGGAGTCGGCCGGTACGCCGACAAGACTCGGGGAGCTGGCGTTGGCTGGTACGCCAGTCCTGGAGCCAAAACTGGAGTCGGGACCATGGCTACTGGGGCCGGTACTGAAGCCAGAATCATGGCTGTAAGGTCCGGTTCAGGAGCCGGAAACATGGCTGTAAGGTCCGGTTCTGGAGCCGGAAACATGGCTGTAAGGTCCGGT